GTGTGTGTGTGTGTGTGTGTGTGTGTGTGTGTGTGTGTGTGTGTGTGTCAGTGTGTGTGAGTGTGTGCGTGTATGTTTGTGAGAGTGGACAGAATTTGTGTAATAATAACAACAATAAATAAATAAACAATAATAGAAGGCTGTTGTCTCGGCCGCAGCCTCTCCGATGGAAATACTTGTGATTTCAACTTATAATATAAACATCCAGACCCGAGACAATACTGAAAACTTAGTTTCTACATTGACCCGGCCGGGGAAAGAACCTGGGACCTCGGACTCAACTACAAAAGTCGTCGGCGATTATGCCGTAATGTGTGTCTGTGTAAGATGTAATATATTTATCTTATACCTGTATATAATAGCTTTATATATATTTACCTTGTAAATAATCCAAATTCAAAATAACTGGACCGGCCTTTACACTCATGCACAATACTTGTATTGCAATAGCTAAGACGGCAAAGTTTAAAAGAACACGACAACATTCTAAAAATTTCACGTCAACACATCTTCTAAAACTGTCCGGGCTATTACCACTGTCTATTTGACATTCACTAAGGCGAGGATGGCTGTGGGGACAGAATATGGGTGGACCCATTTTGCTTGTTTTGTTTTTGTGGTGTTGCTATGAGTGATGCATCTTCCCTTTGTTTTTCGAGGACTGCCTGTAACAAAAAAAAAAATCAGTATGACACGTATTAAACTAAAATATACATTGGGAGCATGTCAACAAGTTGCAAAATCGTATCCCCATTCCAGATAAGTATAGTGGCAGTATAACTAATTGTGGAAGAGTAGTACTGCCACCATACATATTTCTGCCGCTCTATAACGTAGGGTACCTACTGGTGACACTATAGGCACATAGGAGTTGTCAACATTATTATTTTACAGGTTGACCTCCATCTCATCTGACGGAAAGCGACGATGAGCTCAACCTATGTAGTCGCATGTACCAGTACTGGCCATCGTCGACTGCGTCTACACTACTTTACAACTATTATTTTGCAATATTTACTAAACAAAATTACATAGATTGGAATTGATTGAATTGGAGCAAAATAAGTATTCATTTTATGACTGACATCCCTTCACTAAGAGAAAATAGATAATGGTCTTTAAACAGAGATCTTTATGCAAGAATAGCAGCATCTCGCGCTCTTGTGCAATCACGCCCTCTCGTGCTCGCCCTGCGGAGAAAGAGAACCATCCCGATTCAATTAACCTTCAAACAAAAATCTCTTTAGCTCAGTTCACCTGTCAAACTTCCCCTCTTCTTTCGTCGGAGTTTAATAAAGTCGAAGTAGGTATTTGCACTCTCTATTACCACTTTAAGTTATTTTTGCAAATTACGAATGTAAACGGACGCCGTTATTCAACTTAAAATTGCTCCCGAATCTCCTAAACGGCCTTTATACAACTTAAAAAGTACGTGTAAATTATGCTTACTACTCCTTTTACCTAGCATAACTGTTATAAACAGCTAAAAGTATGTTCTTTCATAGTAATTTTAGCGACTTAAGTTTTTAGTCTTTTATGTTATTTTTATAATATACGTTTTGGGAAACAAAAAAAAATCTAAATTGTGTTTATAAAAATATTTTTTTAATAATTAAAAAAATATTGACGACTTCCGTGGTCACGGGGATTGCACACTGATTTTAATGGTATCACCATCTCTGAGGTCCCGGGTGTGATGCCGAGCCAATGTAGAAAAATTTTGTGTATTGTTTTGGGTTTGAGTGTTTGTGGTACCGTCGTTGTTTCCGATTTCCATGCTCAAGTGCTTTAGTTATTTACTTTGAGATCAGAGTTACAATATTTATTTATTTAATAATGATTGATGAAGAAACCACACTTCGCACCCTATGTGTAATAAGGCTACGTCTGCAAAATGACAGCTTTGTAAGAAAGACGTTTCAAGATTAATCGAACGAATTAGTCGATAACTTTTTATGCTTGAATACATTGACTTACAATTATATGGACGTCGGGTACGCGCTAAAAAGTGTCCGAACTTATAGGGCGTTAAAATTGTATACAGAGCGTCATTCACGCTTTAGTCTTCGTTTGTTCGACTGACAGCGAAGCAAGCAAAATTAGACAGTACTGCGATGACATTACAATTTAAATTCAACGTTTTAGCTTTTTCATATTCCTTTACATGTCACTACGTTTGAATAGGTTGACTTCGCAAGGTCACTATATACCTAAAAAAACTAAACTTAGTCGTTGATTGGAACTAAAACTGTACTATAATCACATGACAAACGAGGAAATTGAAAATTGTTTTAGCAATATAGAATTTTTTTTCACCGTTTTGGTGTAACAAGACCACGGAAGAAAAAAGCAATGGAAGTGCCCTAAGACTCGGTTACTATCAGAACTCACATATTCTTAATTTGAAACACTACCAAACCTCAATATTGATGTCTGATGATTGTCGTAGTTTCAAATTTAAAAAGAAACAACACATTCTGGATTGTTAAAATAATTTGAACTTTGTTGGCATATCGTTGAAAGTTCAAAACCATCAATGCCTATTATTACAACTTACGACGTTTAGATATTATATTGAAATTTCAATCAATGTGCTGCCATCTAGCGGTTCATTGCCGAACGACGACGAATTGGAGTTCTTAATTAAATTCTCCGTACAAGAAGCGACCATACTGCTGGGGTATAAGCTTTACTTCCGTTTCATGTAACAAAAAAAATATTTCGATAAACAGAAAATTGAAAATTTATTAGAATAAGACTTTTCGATGATATGAAATACCGCCACGGGTAATATTTCCGGTGCGGCTATAATTTTTGCACTCCAAAACAGAACAATAAGACATTTTTCTAGGATTTTAGTAAATTTGCACTAAAATATGACACAACCTTTCTATACAAAGCGCAAATGGTGGACTGGGCCCAAATGGTTCTTTAGAGATTTTTTTTTTATTGTGACTCGGCAAAATGACTGCACCGCGCCTGATGGAAAGTGCGAATACAGTCCAGAGATGAGAGTAACGGATGGAAAACACAAATATCTTCACTCCGTCACTATCATTTTGCCGGTCTGGCCAAATGCTTCTTCACACTACGTTTGAAGGACCCGATGTTATAGAGGGGAGGGAATACATGCGCCGTGAGTTGGTTCCACAATTTGATGGTTCGGCATAAAAACGAATTGCCAAACTTTTTAGTGCGGGACGGTATTGAACTAACCACTTCTCCTGTATTTATTGTTCTGAACTTAGAATAATAACGCATAGAAACCTAGCCCGCACACGCTAAGTGAGGCAAGTTAAAGGGTTCCAAACGCGTCCCAGGAGCGCGCGGGCTGTTAGTGCTCAAGGTCATATTGCACCGCGAACAGCTCCAAAATTTTTTGCTAAAAATGACGAAATGTGCGGTAAATGGGTGTAAAAATACAACAGACAAACAAAATAGACACTAACATCGCATTCCACAAGTAAGTAATGCGTTTCAACTCATATTTTTATGTAAATATTCACTAAAACAGAAAAATAATTTCGCGGCAACAAGATACGAAAGTGTTGCAAAGTAACGAATTTTTTTTCTCCCCATTTTGCTATTCTGTATCAAAATAATTATATTACGTAAATTTTAGTGGTGCCTGTAATTTCGATTTATTTGCGCATTTTGAACTAATATTTACTCGAATAAACATTAAATGTTTTCGTTAACTCCTGTAAGTGATTGGGACACTTAATTATTTTATAATACTTTTAACGGCTCTGCGTTCATGCTTTATTGAATAATTATTTATATTAATTTTATTTGAATTGGAGCACATATTGCAACAAATTTACAGTATATATTTGTTTCTACTATAGTGTTGGCACCACCAGTACCACTTTGATAGCTTATTATATGTCTTTCTTTTCGTAACTCAAGCGAAATATTTTATATTAAAATATTTTATTTTCTTAAAAGGGGAGCATTCTTAAGCGATTTTTTTATCTATTTTAACAGTTATTTTCTTTAATGTTTGCTTATGGCATTTTCGGTTTTAGGTTTCGAATATGGCACTTATTTCTAAATCCAAGATGGCGGGCGCGATTTTTCGAATAATGGCAAGTTGGGTATCGTTTTCGAGATGTTTGGGAATGTTCAATACAAATATGTGACTCATTTCTAAATCCAAGATGGCAAACACGACAGTTCAAACAAAAGCAATATTCGTAATGAGCACCCCCAAATACCTCGAAAACGATACCCAACTTGCCATTATTTGAAAAATCGTGCCCGCCATCTTGGATTTACAAATAGTGCCATATTCACACTGAGCATCCCCAAATACCTCGAAAATGATACCCACATAGCATTTTTTTGAAAAAATCATGCCCGCCATCTTGGATTTAGAAATGAGTGCCATATTCGTAATGAGCACCCCCAAGTACCTCGAAAATGATACC